AATCAATAAGATCTTAAAATTGCAGTAAATATTGCAGACAATACAAACTACAAGAAGTGTTGAATACGTATAGAAAAGCAGTAGGTAGCCGAATGCCACCGAAAAGAAACCTAATTCCTCGCACAATAGATTTACACGATGTACCCTAACTCTATACAACAACAACAACTACAAAAAAAAGCGAAACAAATCACGCTTCACGATTTTCTACACCTCTGCTCTCGAAAACTGAAAATAAATTCCAGGTTGAACTAGAGATGAAGAAAAGAAAAACACAAAAAGATGAAACGAAAGCCCAATTTTCTTTTCCTTCCAGAACGGAGAATTAAAGCGTACAAATTGATTTCCATTGAGAAGCGTTCCAAACCAAATTAATTGCGTTATTAAAAATCTCCGCTGGAGCATGAAGGCATTTCTCTCTCTGTCTTTTTATCCCTCTTTAAGTTTATTTTTATTATCTTGTTTCTCTCTCTCTTTTAGACTGCGGGATACGTGTGGAAATGAGAAGGTCTTGTGCGGTGCCCCTGTACAAAACCGCAAATGAGTGAATAAGAAAGAGAGAGAAAAAGAGGGTATAGAATTCGTCGATACGGGGGGTCGCCCCGAAAAGCGTATTAGTTTCTTCCGAAGGGGGACGACGACAACGGAATGAAAGGAAGACGAGGATACAATGAGTGGGACACACACACAAAAAGAAAAACATGCCGAGGATATTAGGCATAAGGAGGGCGAACGTTGAAAATGTTGATGCTGGTCAGGTAGTGAGCGGCAGAGAGACACGAAGATGAGGGTGAATGTAGGAAAGAGAGAGACAGAGATAGCGAGTTTAATTGCGCTACCGATAATCTCCGGAAATTTGTAATTCAAATCTTTTATGTAATGGGATGGTGTACTCTGACCAACTGCTGTAGAACTTGTGAAAAATGTATACAATAAAAGTAAAGAAGGTACAATGCGTATAATAGGGGTTGAGGAAATTGTAAATCTAAAGAGGAACGAAGTTTACCTTAAGGATTAACATCGTTACTCCTATTATTGTTGGTTTTCTTTGTCGGATGCAATTACTGCTGAACAAAGTATCGGGTCATAATTTTGTAATCCTTGTTTTCCTTTACAATGTTGAAAAGAAGGGATTTATTTAAGTGTACTAATAGTGTAGTTGTAGCTGTTAAAGAAACCTTAGTCTATATTTTTTATTACTAAGTTAGAAAGTGAAAAATTGGTGTTAAAAATTCATAGTTTAAAAACGTAATAGTAGAAAACTATTAGTATTACAAACAAATATATTGAACACATTTGATTATGTATAGTTTTGGCTGCAATATGAATGTTTTTCTATAAAGTAATGGATTTTTAGTACTTGTGCAACTATAAATCTATATAGTTTCAGCTGTAAAGTAAAGTAAAGTCTTGTTATATATTTTTATATCCAATAGGTTTTAACATGAATTCTCATACGTTGTTCAAAATTGTTGCAAATTTGCAAAGAAAATTTTGTCAAACGAATATCTAAATGTAATCTGTTTGTTTTGGATTTGCGATTTCTTCGTGTTACTTTTCGTGTTTGCTTTCCGGAACAACGTGTATCTCTTCTTTTCTCGACTCGAAAGGGAAAAAAAAGATAATATTTGCGGCAAACAACGAGCGTTATTTTCGGGATTTTCCTTCTTTTATGTTTCTTCTGCGAAGTGCGAGAAAAAAGTAAAACAATAAAGAAGAAAAATGTAAATTTGCTCTGAAGATCAGAAAACCGTATGAAAACAGAAGGAAGAACCGGAAGAAGTTTAACGTAAACCGGGAACGTTTGATGTTGTTTGATGCGGCCTCTCTTATTTTTATTTTGCGTGTGTGCGTATTTCGATTCGGGAATGGAGAGAACATCTTAAGCATATTTTCATCCATCCCTAAGTGCAATTAAAATTAACGCAAATAAATGTGTGCGCGCTCGCTCTTTTCATCTCGCACTAAAAATAGTTTGCCGGCATTACAGAACAAAACAAAAAAAAAATCTTCTTTTCATGTCTTCTCGTCGTCATCGTTTGATGTCGGGAATATACATCTGTTTGCGGGGTTGGAAAGACCGGTTTCGGCGATTGCGGCTGGATACGAAGAGACTAAGACGACGACGACGGGGGGGTCCTTCCTCCTCCTCCTCCTTCTCATCCTCATCTCGACCGGTCCTCGTCTCTCCGGTCGGCTAGTCTTGATGTGTAAAACTTTAATAGTTTATAATTACCCTGCTCTCGGTCTCTCTCTCTCTTCCCCCCATATTTCTCTTCGCTCGACGATGAAGAGCGAAAGAGAAACGTCTCCTCATCTCTTACCATTCTTCACTTCACTCCTCTCTCTCTAACTCATTCCTGGTCCGATCGTCTCTCCTCTAGCCGACTTTAATGAAGCCCTAACATTCAACGCCAAAAATTCTTTGTAATCTATTATATCCATCGGCAATTGTTTAATACACCTACCAAAAAGTGGCGGGCGACTATAATTTCGGCCTCCGCTCTCCTTGAGACGATTCTTGTTTTTGCCTATCTCTTTCTTTCTTTTTCCATCATCATCATCAACATCATCTTCATCCTCTCCTCCGTCTCACTTCTCACCGTCTTTATTTCTTCTCCGCGCTTTAATTATAAACGCATTATGGCCGCGCGGTAGTTTGTAATTTACAGCATCATTTTCATCCGGCAACAATAAAGCCAACGAACATTCGTCGTCTCTCCTCCTTCATTCTCTCTACGTGAGTGCGCTCCTCTTTTTCTCATCATCATCATTACTTCTGCTCGTTTCTCCTGCCGCCGCCACAGGTTGCTGCGTCCTCGGGGCCTTCGGGTTATACAGGGTGCCAACGTTATCCGTCGCAATTATTTCCATCTGAAAACACAACAAGAAATTATTGTACAAATGTTCCCAATATTAACTAGTATTACTTACCAAGTTATTTGCGTTATGTTTAGTCTACACAGCTATCTTGTTATACAGGTACTAGTTTACTTGTTACTTCCCAAGTATTGAGTATGTCTTATTTTAAATCTTCTTAATTTAGACATACCTAGTAGTTTGTCTAGTTATAAATTTATTAAATATCTCTCATTTGAATAAATAATACTATTTTTGACATTTGACATTGACATTTCAATTGTATAAATTTGGTAAATATAAGTTTCGTTATCAAGGACTACTTGCTTATCACTTAGTACTTTCCTAACCAGGAATGGAAAAATGATATTGTTGTATATTAATACAAGAATCCCACAGAGAACAATTGCTGCTTTACAGAGAATTTTCTTAGTGATATTTCATTGGTTATGTATCTTTTTTTTTTGACTTTGACATATATGTCAATAAGTCAATAAATTGGATAGATTTTGAAAGGCTAAATTTGATCACGACTCAAACTAAAACTGTCACCCTGTATACCTATACCCATACCCATACATGAACACATACACCCATGTGGAAATAAGTGTATCTGCCTTTTTCGGTTTGTTTTTCTTTTTCAGTTGTATTGTTGTAGTAATGCTCTTTTCATCCTCCTCCTCCTTTGCGGTCACGGCGCGCATTAATAATCGGCTCGCCGATTGATTATTAATTAAGCTCAGACGACGACCGGCGGAAATTCGAAACGGCTACAGCTCTTGCTCACTCGGACGCATCAGTTACGAACGTGTCCATCTCGTTTCCTCTTTCATTCTCTTTCCATTGTGGTGGTGCGCGCTCTCGTATGAGAACACGATGCCGCCGCCGACCAAAACCATCCACAACCTACACTCGTATCCATTATAAGCTCATATTCACGACGGACGTGCCATAATTTCCGAAACGTCGAAGCTCGAATACAAATCACGATGAAAACAAACAAACAAACACATCTGAAAATATTATATACACACACATTTGCGTATCTTTTTTCCTACAGCCGAAAAAAAAAACACCCACACCCAAAGAAGAAGACGTCGTCGTCCGAAAAGGTGCCGCGATGCGTGTGCGCTTTTTATTTTCTTTTCGTGCATGAATTATGAACGATGGACACCTCTTTAAAATAAGGAACGGAATGCATACAATATCCGTGTGTGCGTGTACATATGATATTACCATTGTTTAAGTCTTGCACTCACTTATTATCTTCGGGGCGGCATCTGCCAAAGATGTAATTACCATTGTTTGGTAAGGAGCGTTGCTACTTCCATCGCCAACTTCCGATTAACACATCAATGGAAACAATCGAATACTGCTCGCTACTCACTTATTTTCTATGTGAATGTTCGTAATAACAAGTAACAAAAAATGTATTATTACCTATACTTATTAGTTTATCAATTGGAATCCAGCTTTTGACAAACAATACACTAAAAATTACAAACATGACAACATAAAAATAATACGTATCAATTAAATAGTTAAGTATATAAATGATTGATTTTGAAACATTTAAGAATTACATTTAGCAAATATTCTCTAATTAAGAAATATACATTTATAATAATATCACGAAATATTGAAATTTCTCGGAAACTTTCAAACGTTGGATCAAAAACTGTCAAACATAAATCTAATACATTCCTATTCATTTGTTACAGGCAACTTTATATGCTTCCAGGTTAATTAGATAATACTTATACAATTACATACGCCTACAATTACTTAATGACACTTTAAATCATTATATCACGTATAAAGCAATGCAATTAAGCTGTGTTGTCATAACTGAAATCTTATTCGAACTGTTGCAAATATGCAATTCCACCTTAAATTCTCTATCATTATAGGCGGCACTTTCGTAATTATTAATAGAAACATAAATGTAGCAATAACATTATGATAATTTGTTATACGCAATTAAAATTGATTTTTTTGATGGAACAAAATTAAATTTTGTTTCGAACTATAGGCAACTTAGTTTGCGTCATTTCGAATTTTTTTTACAAAACTTTCATAATTAGTGTTAATTTTCATTGCAAGTTAATAAATTCAATTTGCTTAAAAATTGATGCAATTTCTTCATCTTTATACCACTAGTTTATTAACAACCACTTATCAATTACAAATACATCTTCTTAACCACATGTGTAATTATTTCCAATAATATAATATTTGTATGTATATATGTATAAATTAATACAAAATTCTCCCCAGATATACTGTACAGCAATTTGCATATGTTTCTTCTTTTGTTTATCAATTTGTTTTTGTTTTTTTTTTACATATGTATAAATATATTATATACTTTTTGTACACAGAAATCACATAAAAATATCACGAATCGTAATTTAGAAGGGTATAAACAAAAAAATAATAAAATTAAAATAAATAAGACAAAGTAAAGACGCAGACGGAGAGGAAGTGTGGATGTGATATTGTACATGGATATTAGACATACGGTTGTTGCTTCGATCGTCAATGTTCTCGACGACCGTTAAGTGTGGTCCTTCTTATTCCTCTCCTTCTGCTTCTTCTTGAGTATTTTCGTTTTCTTGATCTTGCCGTCGCCGGCGTTGATCTTCTTGTAGATGTTACGCTTCACCTTGTACGAGGGATTCGCGGGCGCCGCCTTCTGGAAGTTGTGCACGCGGAAGGTACGCTTCTGACTGCTCGTCGAGGCCAGAAAACCACCGGGCACGCGACTCTTCTGGCTGAAGACCTGAGCGTTAGAGTTGCTCGCGTCCCAGGCCACGATCAGCTTCTCGTCATCCAACTTCTTATCGTTCTGATACTTGGCAATCATCTTCTTGCCATCCGGGTCTTTCACGAAACAGATCTCGGTCAGCTTGATGCTGCCGTCCGGTTCCGTTTTCTCCTTACTATTGTTGACCTTGCATTTGGCGCTCGTGTTCTGGATGTTCTTCGCGATGTGATTGACGGTCGACTGGCTCGAGTTGGGTCTGTGCTTCTCCTGGTTCTTGACGCGCGGTCGCATGTTCAGCGACTTCGAGGTCTTCAAGTTGTTGGTCCTCGCGGGACGACCGGACGTGGACGGTGTCACCAGCTCGGAGCAGCTCGGCTGCGGCGTAGACGACACTATCCCCGCAACAGCCAACTTGTCCTTCTTCAACTGCTTCATCTTCTTCGCGCCGAACTTGTTCAGCGATCGCGACTTCACGATCACAGATCGACTTCCGCCCACCTTGCCCTGCAGCAATAAACGACTTACCTTTACATCACTTTCAATCGTAAACCCCTTCCCAAGAACAACATCAACATTTGTGAAGAACGAAGAGAGTTTACAAAGCCCAAAATCACACATTAACTTCAAGAAATTCCATTAATAAAGCAATAAATTAATGAACAAAAAAAAATTTCTAACTACAGAATAATATGAAAAATTATCAAGTAATATAAGGATAGTGGAATTCACGAGGATGGTTTCCAAGGCCATAAATGTAATGAATACTAATTTGCAGAAACTTTGTAAACGCCCTTCGCAAAGATAACAGATGCACAAATAAAACATGTAATCAATGAAAAAAAAAATCTAAACGAAAAAAAAAAGGAAACATTATTTACTATCTTTCACACTTATTTTTATAATCATATAAGTATTATTACATTTACGATATTTTAATTAGTATATTTATATATTTGTATTTCTAATACTCACAAAAAAAATACTTGATATTTCTTTTCTCTCTTTTGTTTTTTTTTTGTTAGTAAACACATAATTTCTATATGCTTCATCATCATCATCAGTCGGTTAGAATAATAATAAATAAGTTTGATTTACAAATCTACGGTTCTTGGTCATCATCACAAACGTTCTCACCCTAAAGTATTGCTTAAAAGTACGTTCGTTATCCAACAGCAATTCTTCACTAAATCACATTTAATTTTTCATAATTTTAAAGATATAACAACAACAAACAAACAAAAAAATACTAACAAACGTGGCTCGAAATTTACAAAATTTTGGAATGACTATATATGTCTCTTTATATTTTTCTCATCCGATGGAAATATATAAATATTCTGGCAAGATTTCTTCCTTCTCGGTCGCTACTCTACTTTATACCGGCGGTCCCCCAATTCGCATATTGTTTATATGAACAAACGAAAAATATAAACAAGAACAGAAAATAATAGAACTTGGAAGACTACACACATGATCATCGTAAAGTTTACACACAAATTTCCTATCACATATACGTTGCAGTTTTGGTTACCCTTCTTCTATATGGAAAACGATAAATAAATATATATTTATATATAAAAAAAATAGGTGAAAATGAAAACAAAATAAGAAATTGAACGTGAGCGTGAAACAAAAAACAACAGCCAAAAACCCGAGCCCCAGAAATGAGGTGGCTGCGGGAGGCGGTGAAGGATGGTATTATGTTACGCAGCACTGCCGGATGCTGACGCTCCCGTCAACATCGTCGGCGTTGCTAGCGTTTTCGTTGTTGCGTACCTGAGCGACGTTCATGCTGCTCGAATGGTGGCTGACGGCGTGTCTGATTACCTTCGGTTTGCTCAGATCGCCCAATCCGCTGGCGCAGCGCACCCGAAGCCATTCCCTCAGTCCGTTCAGCGAATGGTACTCGGAGTGAGGCAGCCTCGTGTACGGATTCTGGTTGATCAAATCCAATATCGATATGCCAATCGCCCGACCAACCTTAAAACAAACCGTCAATTATATCAATAATTACCATGAAAGTCATTTGAAAAAGGGACATGTTGCAAATCTTTGCGTGGGCTTATTAAAAATGAATGTTATTTGGAATTGTGTAATCGCAGGAAGCAACTATGATGATGCAGTAATATAATACAATACCTCCTCGAACACATGAGGCGTGTACTTTGGAGGTACGAGCACATTGTGGATGGCCTTGGCGGTCTCCTTGATCGTAGGCGGAAGGACGTTAACCAAACGCCCGGTATTGTAATTGCACTCCAACGTATAACTTTGCACTAATCCCGTAAGTTTGAAGACGGCGACACGGCCGGAGCCCTCCTTGCTCATTCCATCTCGCTTATCCCTTAAAGAAAATACGACGCAATTGAATGCCACTAGTATAAAACGATAAATATGAGAAATCCATTACTTTAAGTACATGTTCCTCTCTGTGAAATTGCACGCGGTAAAATGAAAATTATGATTGTTGATGCTCATAAGCTTGGGCAACAGCATACACTTGACGTTGCAATCCACGTCGTCGAAATGGTTTCCGTACATGAAGATGCCCTTCTTCGAAGCGTGACCGTGCATGTCCACGTATAAGAACAGACCGGACGCGTCCGGGTTCTTGGTATCTCCGCCGAAGGAGTTGTTGCACTCCAGGAATTCGCCGCAGTGGCCGCACGATCCGGACTTCTCCTGAAGCTCCACCAGAGCTTTACACTTGCTGCACCAGGCTTCCTTCTTCGAATCGATGGTTATGTGAGACACTTCCGTCGAAAGCCCTTCCTCCCTCTCATCGTCCTCCTTCTCGAAACCGTAATGATAGTAACGGATCAGGGCTCGAGCCGCGCTGATCGTCGGATGATCCGTCACGTTCGGATTCAGATAGACGCGATTCAAATTTACGCCCCGCGTGTCCGTGCGATAGTGCCCGTTCACCACACCGTCCGGATTCAGACAGGGCACCAGCTTAAACACGTAATTCCTCCTCAGGACTATGGCCACAGTATCGTCTCTGGTCAACAGGAGATTCAGGAATCCGTTGAAGACGAAGCTGGACGGGGTTTCGCCGGGATGCACGCGTGCCGAAATAAAGATTACCTAAATCAATTTGAATTATTACTTACTTTATGATATATAATTATGCATTTACCTTCTTGTCGACGAATCTATACGGTCTGAGAGTATTCGGATCCGGAAAGAGATTGGTCAATCTCGTCTCGCGCTCCGAGCTGATGCCGTGGAACGAGGTGATCGTGATCAGATCCATCCTTCTGCCCTCCAGCGAGTCGCACACCCTCTCCCTGACATAGTAAATATCATCCTTCGAGTTGAGGTCGTCGTCCGCGCTGAACCTATTGTCAATTAGGGCCAGTTTCGACTGCAAGTCTGCATAGGAGTACGGATATGTGAAGGCAAGATAGAGCACGCTGTTCACATTCTCCGGCGCCTTGCACTTGAAGCTCAACGTGAACACGTTCTTCTCGTTCTAAGCAAAGGCAAATTAACAACACGTAACTTAACAACTCAACATTCCTGAAATTGTGTGTATGTTTGTTTGATACAAAGAGAGAGAGAGAGAGAAAAAGGGACAGACATAGATATAGAGAAAGAAGTGTGTTTACATTGAACGTCGGCTTGTCAATTATGCGCTCCCAGTGGCCTTTGCCCGGAAGAATCCTGAACACAGGTCCCATGCCCTGGCTGTAGAGCTTCGCCTGCTTGTTCAGATCTACGATGTTAAACTTTATCAGAGCGGAGGGTACAGTACCTAAAAGAAAACAGTTCAATGCAAACTTAAAAAAAGCTTCTCAACATCGACAATTACATAAAATCGAATACGTAAATATTTCCTATATTCGAATCAATACATATTATACTGTATATCGATTTTTAGCTCACTTAATATTAATACGCCGAATGTAAACTCATTAGCAACAACTGCGAGCTATCTTTGGCGTTCAACAAGAAAAATAAACGAGAATTTTATACCCTTGACACCGAAGTAAAACCAGGTCCTGTTCCCATTCTCGAATTCGGTCCCGGCGCAGTCCGGTTTCGTCCACAGGTTGAACTCGACATTCGGAATGTCTTGTTTCCCAGTGAATGATGACGAATTAATTTCTGAAAATGAAAAAAAAAACAAAAATTAATTTAATTCTGACTTTTTGATAACTTTTGGATTAATGTATTATTCATATTATAATAATCATGCAATTAACATAATAATGCAATTATTGAATTAGCAATTAATGGCGCTAATTAGAAAATAAGTCTTGCACAACTTAATACACAGATATATACAATATTCCTATTACCTTCTATTGAATAATAGTCACAATTACTCAAACATTTCTAATTGGCAATTAGAAAAATTCCAATAGACACTTACATAATATAGAAATTGTTTATAAAGTGCAACTTATGTAATATTGTACTTACTATTTTCAGGTGTTCCAACATATTCCACCCTGCAAAGGTTGGCAGAGTCGAAATTGGAATAGAAATGGAACCCGGCACACTCATATCCATCCATCACTCAATGCTGGCTGTTGATCATTGGGAGGACTGCAAATGGCAAAACAAGAGACAAAAATGAGGTGATTAGAGGTGATTACATGTAATTTGAAGGCACCAGGGGAGAGTAGGGAAAAAAAAACGGTGAATATTCAACACAGACCAATTTGAATTGTCAGTTGGAAACAGTCAGTCAGACAGGCCAGGAAAACAAAATATGCTGTAGAGGTCGACTTTGACTCTCTCGTGCATCGAAGGTGCGCTAATTGTTTTGTTTTGTATAATCAGCTGATTTTGTTTTTGAATCCTGCTGCAGCCACTTTCCTAGACGGAATCGAAGAAAACTGCGCTGCGATGTAGATAGACTCTTACGCCTTCGTGTTTTCCCCATTGATTTCCATGGCCGCGACGCCCTCGTCACGTAATTCCCCATCTATATTTAGAGCTGGAAAACTTACCATTTCCTTTTTCGCCGCCGAAACGCAGCATAGCTTCTTTCTCACTCGCAAAAAAACAATACGCAAACTTTTCCGTAGATCACTTTCACTTTTTTGACACCTTCCAATAGGCGACTTTGTTTTACTTATAAGAAAAACAGACACCGAACTTACTGTGCTGCGTTGCATATATCGATTCCAAGTAACTTCATTGCTATTTTTATAGTCACCAGCAGTTGCTGCTTATGCATCCAACAATACATTTTCACAGCAATTTCCTGGAATTAAACTAAATTACGATTTATGTTTTATTTAAATTTACTATAATCATTACTGTGATTAAAGAAAATTTAGAATAAGTGGCTAAAATTACGTATTTCCAAAAGAATTAAACCGAATACAAATACAATTTGGTTGCCTATAAGCCAACTGTCAGATCACTTTGTTATTATTTATAATCTTAACCTAAAATTTGCTTGTAACTAATTTATGTGGAGATAAGTGGATTATAGTAATTAAGGAAAATGAACGGTTTTATGGCTGAAGGATTTATGGATTTTACCAGGATTTGCCGGATATGCATGAACAATCTGGACACGAATTCGGTGTCGGTGTTCTCGTCGAAGCCGAACGAGTCGCTCCTCTTCTCCAGCAAAATCATGTCCTTCGCTGAAATTCAAGTAAACAAATGAAGGATAATTTAAATATATATATATATAGAGCAGCATTTCTATTTACACTAAGATAATAAATAAATATAATTTCAGGTTCTGTTTGGGGATGGTCTGCCAGAGAACTTGTGCCAGAACTGCTGGGTGGCCATCGATTCTGCCTACAATCTGAAGCTTCAAGCCGAGCACTCGGACGCGGTGCTCAGGAAGTACCTGCAGTCCAATCTGAAGAAGTTAACTGAAAACCAAGAAGAAGAAGAGATTATTCCAGATGATAACGACGACTTTCAAGATGACGATGTCGTCGTCGATGAAGAAGAGAAGAAATGGGAGTGTAAATTGTGTGGAGCGCACGAACTCGAGCACGAGTGCGTTAAAAATTTAACGTGCAAGATTTGCAACAAGAGTTATTTGAAGGAAAGCAATTTGGCGGCGCATATGGGAACGCACACGGGTCGTAAACCGATAGAGTGCAAGGAGTGCGGTAAATGTTTCACGCAGGGAAGGGCGTTCGCGTGTCACCGGAGAACGCACGAGACCGAATCGGAAAGACCGTACAAATGCGAGCAGTGCCCGAGGACTTTCACGTCGAAGACGCTGCTGAAGAACCATGCGAAGAAGCACGAAACGCAGACTTTACATTGCAACGTTTGCGAAAAGACCTACTCGAATATGGGTAATTTGAAAGCGCACATGCGATTACACAGCGGCGAAACTCCTTATTCCTGTCACATATGCAACAGGAAATTCGCGCAGAGCAACTCGCATTCGTATCACATGAAGACGCATTTGATGGATAAACCGTTCAGCTGCGATATCTGCTCGTACGCGTTCACCACCAACGGGCAGCTGGTGAACCACAGACGGCTGCACACTGGGGAGAAACCGTACGCTTGCACTCTTTGCCCCAAAAGGTTCACGCAAAAGGTTTCCTTTTCGGTGCACATGATGTCGCACGGTGGCAACAAGCAGCATCTGTGCAGCATTTGCGGAAAGAAGTATTCTCTCAACGGTCAACTCGTGAACCATATGAGATCTCATTCAGGTGAATACAATTTGGTTGAATAGTGAATGAATTAATATTCATTTCTTTTAGGAGAGACTTTGAAATGTTCGTTATGCGGAAAGGGATATACCACGCCTGCAAATTTGGCGGCGCACAAGAAAATCCATAGCGGGATTAAACCGCACGTTTGCGCTGTTTGCGGTAAACGCTTTTACGTTCCCAGCAAACTGGCGTATCACATGAGGACGCATTGCGAAGATCGACCCTTCGCTTGCTCCGTATGTCCGAAACGCTTCAAAACCGCCAACGTTATGAAGATCCACGTTAGGACGCACACGGGCGAAAGACCGTATCAATGCACGCTTTGTGAGAAAGCGTTTACAATCAGCTCACGATTAGCCTCGCACAAAAGAACGCATCATAAGAAGTGAACATATGCAAAGTGATACTTAACTAAAAATTGATTGAAAACATTTGCAAATTTAGAATACATGAATACATTTCAAGAGTATTCGTATTCAGTGAAGAAATGTTTGCAAATATTAATCAATTTTTGGACATTCCTTGCAGAATACTTTAGTAGGGCAATGGAATGCTAAAAAAAAATGATTTACTTAACGTTGAACAAATTGAATTTGCATCAGAAACGATCAAAGTTAAGTAAATCAAATAAGAAATAATAAAATAAGTTTTACTTTGATGGTAACTGCGACAATTGCTTCAGCTGCTTAAGAACCGTCTCCTGCAACTTCTTCTTATCGCGCTCGCTCTTCTTAAGCACCGTGAACATAGTGCTCTTCTTGTCGCCCTCGCGTAACCTAAAAACAAATTACAATTAAAAAATATCAACAAACTGAGCTTCACTCATACTTTTCCAAAATCACGATGGCCACGTCCGGATTAACCTGCTTATATTTACTTGTTTCCTGGGCGTAGTCATGGAAATACGTGGGCCAATCCCAAGAGGTGAACAGATCCAAGATTTCGCGCAGCTTCACGAAGTACGACAGAAGCACGTCCTCTTGCAACCCTTTGACCGGTTCGGAAGCTGCAAATTCTACAGGCAATGTTAGCAACATCGGATATATTCATTTAGTGTAAGGAATTACGTTCGCACTGCAGCAAATCTAAGTTGACCTGGTGTAGAAAACCCATGGAGATTTGCTTGATATCTTCGTTGAGCAGCAGAAGCATCATAGAGTTCGCTATGTGGGCGCATGCAGATTTGCAGGCGATCTGTGCAACTTCCGGCTGAAATGAAATGAATTAATGTAAGTGCGCGTGTAGAATGGAGTAAAAATTCAATTACCGGTAAATTCGTGAAGCTCACGAAGGTTGTTTGAAGGAATGCTATGATGTCAGAGATGAAACTGGAGGCGTGACCCTGCGGCTCGACCAACACCCAATCGTACGACTCCAATTCGATGAACTCGTTCAACTTTTGCTTCAGCTTTTCGCAGATCTGACGCACCGCATCCTCTCTGGCCACCCGGAACATTGCCGGTTGACCTTGAACGACTCCAGCTGTCACACCGCGCGATTCCTCCCTAAAATATCATTTGGTGTAAAATAATATTTGTATATTTGGAATTATAATAAAGGATTTAATTTACCCGGTGATGTTCGAAATGAATTGATCCAAATAAATGGTGGCCTGCTCCAAATAACCAGTATCCACTATGATCTGGATGATCTCCTGAAGATTGATGTGGTTGCTCCTGAAGGTGGACGACAAGCATCCGCTGAAGCTTCTGGTTAACAGCAAATTCATGCTCTTCCTAATCATCTCGTCCACTTCCACTTGACTCAGATTCAGATCTTCCGAGAACTTCAGGCACGCGTAGATGAACTCCTTCACCTGCTGGTAGATCTTCGGCACCATCCCGGAAAAGGGAAACGCGTACGGAAACACGATATCATCAGGAATGTCATCCTCGAACGGAAACGAAGAAACGATATCGTCGTACTCGACTTGACTACCAGCCTAATAAAATTCACAATCAATTAAGAAACGATCCAGAAATGTAGAATTGAATTATACGCACTTGAACGACTTGGAAATCTTCTTTGGACAAGATTTCCCTGAAGACCTGAACCCATCTCTGCATCAGCACCTCAGTGTAGTGATCCCGAAGCTCTCTGAGTTGCTCCCACAGAGGCTTCACCGTATACCCGTAATTCCTCAGCGTCGTGCAGAAGAGCATGATCAAATCTTTGATACGCAATATCAGAGTAGCATCAGTACAGTAAGACTAAAAACAATAAATTAAATATGTTACAAAGCTAAATCTTAATTAATTAAAACACATTACCGAATTGGTTTGAAGCGCGGCCACGATCTTCGTCAAAGCCATCGTCCACATATCGTCGAGGAAAGCGCGAGTGATCAGACCGTTGCCGGTATTCAAAACGTGATCCTCCAAAATGAAAAATCCCAGCACTGCGTAAATGTATTGCCGATAACTCTCTTCGGATTCGTGCTGCAAAGTTAATTATTAATAAAACTGTTAAAGAAAACTCAAGATTTTTATTACCATATTCGTTGGAGGTTGCAGCACCAATCGAGCTTGCTTCGTCCTTTCCGCTCTATAATAAGTCTCGAAAGTAGCCCTAGAGCCCAAAACTGTTGAAATATGCAGGCAACGATAAATAGGCGAAAAATCGATCATCTCTTGAGCGCTCAAATCCTCTTCGGAATAATGACTCGACGAAATACCATCACCTAAAATAAAATTTAATTTATAATACAAATCAAATTTCGAATGATTTTTATACCAGGATTGGGAATAATCCTTTTCTTCTTTCTACCAACCAACGTCGGGTCACTTGCCAATTGCTCGTTAGTCTAAAACATTAAGAACTTAACTAATAAGTCACAATAATCATTAATTTTTACTTACATGTTTCATAGCCACTTCCCCAATTTTCGGTGAATATCTGCGTATATTCTCCAAGAAATCTTTCAGATCCGACATAGAAGCAGTTTCAATGCTCTCACGAATTCTACAAATTAAAAACTTAATAATATCAAATTCGTTAAATATATCAAATAATTACTTTGGGATGCTTTCTCTCAATTGCAAAGAAAACCTGTAATTAGCGACGTGCGGTAGATGCGTGTGCTCCAACTCCTCCAACGTCTTCAAGGCAGGATAATATCTGAAAACAATATGTTTTAATAATCTAATCTTAGTTCTTAATATAATATTAGTAACCTTTTATCCATAATTTGTTTCTTTAATTTGGAATAAGTGGTCAAGACTGGTAGACAAAGATTCAATTGACTTATGACCACAACTATATTATTCTGCACTTTCCTTGCCTGCAATAATTCAGCTCCAGATTTGGATATACCCTGTGCAGCAACATGTAGGTTCTTATCCAAAGTTAAGACTTCCGACTGAAACAAGAAACAATTGATGAAAATTTAATTTGACATAAGTCAAGAAACTTACATTCAACTTTTTTGCCTGTGACCTGACCTCGAGCAACTCTCGTATGGACTCAATGAAGCCCTGATAGTAGACATTGCACAGCCTCTCGATATCCTTATCATGATGCTTGATCCTCTGCTCCAATTTCTCTGCAAACGCGTCGTGCTTATCGTTCTTGTAGATAGCCCTTAAAAAAAAACAACAAAAGCGTAACCAAGGGCTTGAGAAAACAACAAACTAATCTAACCTAAAAGTGGGTCCCCAATAGTCGTCGATGCCTTCGATTTCCTGGAGGTACAGGTCGTGCTGTGCGTTTATCTCGTTGCTGCTTCGCTCCATCTCGATTTCCAATACGAAATAGACACTCAACACAAATACAGAACAAAAACTACAAGGAAAACATCTCTGCCTCTTTAAGTCTGTCACACCTACAGCTGATCGCGACTGACAACGTCAACAAACAACACCCACCGAAATCCGAGCCAAATATACAATGAACGTGGGCCTCACCTTCGAAGTTCTACTATACTTAAACTCCTATTATTTCGGACTCTTCGCCGTCTGCGAGATCGGCATCAACGTGGTGAAAGCGATAAACCAGCCACTGCCAAGCTTCGGAACAGATTTGGGTATACTGCTGGGGGTCTGCGTGCTGGAGGTGTTCAGGGTAATCATAGCAAGGAAAGGCAACCTCACTGAGAAATGTAGAAACAAGCAAACAAATTACATCCAAACTAATTGATTAATAATTATTATTTTTTTACAGGGTGGTCCGTGTTTGCAGCTTTGCTTTTCACCGTCCCCTCAGCACTTGGGGTAGTTTACTTCCTGTTGTGGCAAAGCTTTGTGATCAGATTCGAGTACATCATGTGCGCCATCCAGTTGACCCTTCAGGCCATGGAGATATTCTTTGGCATTTTAGTGCTGCTGCCCATCTGCAAGACACCAGAGTATTATTAGCCTTAAAATACGATTTAGGATGCCCAAAAGAGAGAAAGGTTTCTGTGATGTAGATGATGACCAGAAGGAGATTCTGAAGTATTAGCAACACCAATTGTAACAAAAATAATTCCAACCAAGAAGGAAACCAAAGATCCAATGTGATTCAAAACTCTAGTCCAATTAGATTTTAGGATGTTACTCGAGTAGATTAGATATACAATATTTATATATATACACTCACACACTTCTATATATATATATATGTACACAAATATATATATTTTCATTCCATGACTGATATTTTTCGAGTATGTCAATTACAATAATGCAAATAAAGTCCATTAATTATAGTTGAAATCTCTTTAGTTTTTCTTTTCTTGCTGTATTTCACAAAACAATTATGAAAATTGATATCTAAATGTTAGGTAACGCAGTTACTTCCTATCAGATCAGGCGTTCCACAGGGAAGTATACTGGGACCTTTACACTATTTATACATTTTATATACAGAATTGGGATATTAACAATTTCAGGAAATTGGATCAATTCGATCAGGAAAGGTCTTCGGCAAGGAAACATCAGTTTGGATTGAAAAATGCTGAAGGATTGGTAGATTAAACCGTTGGAGTTTAAGAGGGTTTGGATTGAAGGGCTCAAAGATTGGAAACCTGTGGAGGAGGATTACGAAGGACCGGCGGATATGAGGCGTTTTGATGGTGAACGGTCTCGCGTTTCTTCGGCTTGGGACCTCAACACCCGTTACCTTCTGGCGCCTTTGCTGAAACGAGGCCGCAACAAAATCGTCGTGATCAGGGATTTCCAAACGCCCGGACGCATTAGCTTCAAAAATAAACCGTTTTATCAGCGCAAAGAGTACATGTAGATGATAAACAAACAGCTTTATGTGAACACATAATCTATGTATATTTATTTTTAATCGAAAATAAACCATTACCACGATAATCGCGTTTATTTATTTTGTGCGTCGATAAGAGAGGAGAGCGGATTACCAATTAGAATGAAGGAAGGAGTGGAACTGGTCGTCGCAGTATTTATGCGGAGACAACAGTTCGTTGCTAAGCGTTTACAAGTAAACTGGTTACTCGGTCCGTCTCCACAACAACAACAACAAAAAATAGCTTAATGCACTTTTGATTATTGAATCGAGAATTGAATTGAGTTCGCGATGGCCTTGGCGGCGCCGACGCTCTACAATTACTACACTTCCGGTGGTATTTCGAACGGTCTTTCCGCGAATCAACCGCACTTCACGCTAAATGACAAGAACATCACGATCTATAGCGGTGCTATGCACTACTTCCGCGTCCCGAGGGCTTACTGGAGGGATAGACTGAGGAGAATGAGAGCCGCCGGTTTGAACGCGGTTGAAACTTACGTCCCGTGGAATCTGCACGAACCGGAGGAGAATAATTTCGATTTCGGGAAGGGCGGAAGCGATATGGAAGATTTTCTTCATTTGGAAGAGTTCTTGAGGACCGCCAAAGAGGAGGATCTGTTCGCCATAGTCCGCCCGGGTCCGTACATCTGCTCGGAATGGGAATTCGGCGGATTCCCCAGTTGGCTTTTACGCTACAAGAACATCCAATTGAGGACGTCGCAACAATTGTTCATGCAACACGTCGCGCGTTACTTTAACGTACTTTTAACGCTTCTGGCTACTCTGCAATTCACCAAAGGCGGTCCGATTATAGCGTTTCAAGTTGAGAACGAGTATGGAAGCACCGAGAGGAAAGATAAATTCGTACCGGACAAAGTGTACTTGGAGGAGCTCAGGCAGCTGATGGTTAACAACAAGATCGTCGAGTTACTTTTCACGTCGGATGCGCCGATGCACGGAACGGTTGGAACTTTACCGAAATACTTCCTGCAAACTGCGAATTTCGCAAACAATCCGGAAGCGGAATTCGATAAGTTGAAGACGCTCCAGAAGGATAAACCTACGATGGCCATGGAATTTTGGACGGGATGGTTCGATCATTGGTCAGAGAATCATCACACCAGAAACAATACCGAGTTTAAGGATGTTTTGGAGAGGATTTTGAAGTATCCGGCTTCGGTTAACATGTACATGTTCCACGGAGGAACCAATTGGGGATTCCTAAATGGAGCAAACATCAACGATGGAAGCATCGATAATCGAGGTACGTGCAATTTTATCCTTTCAAATTTAACTTTAACTTTAAACTAATCACTAAATATAATAAAAAATACTTACCAAACATATCTGGACCGACGCTACCGAATAAACCAACCGTCAAATGTTTGAATCTAATATTACACGACATTGCAGCCAATATAATTATTCAATTTGCAAAAAGAAACTATAATTAAGTCACGCCCGCAAAGCATTTTAGTAACAAATTCCAATTTGAAAAATCATATTTAAACTTATTGCCACACCGATAAAATAATATTTACTAAAAATATTCACCAAACTTTGGAAATGTTTTTATTTCTATTTAGTATGATGACTTAAATGTGGATTTTCATAATAACTTATTATTGTTGCGTGGCGCCGGTCCTGATATTTGATGATCTTTTTAAATTGTATTCGTTTAAAATTTGAATATTTAAATTATGTTTTAAAGGTTATCAACCGGATACGACTAGTTACGATTACGATGCGCCTTTAACAGAAGCAGGAGATTACACGGAAAAGTACGTGATGGTGAAGAGTCTGATCGCGAAATACACCAAAATCAATTTGCACACTCCCCAAACACCAGCGGAGAACCTGAGGATTGCCTATCCACCGATACCGATAACACAGCAGCTAGATTTCGAAGAGATGTTCAACGCCGTCGATATGAAGGTGCAACGAATCCATCCGATTCCCATGGAATTCATGCCGATCAACAACAATTCCGGTCAGAGCTACGGCTACATAGTGTACAGGAAGGAGAACGTGACGATACGGCCGGACTCGGTTTTGGAAATCGGCGGAAGGGTTTGCGACACGGTGATGGTTCTGGTGAACGGCGTTCTCCTATCGAAACCGCTTCTGAAGAGTCAAGATTTGAACGGTTTCGGTTACTGGCGCACCAAGAATTCCAAATTGAATTTGGGAACGAGGGACTTGGAGGACGCAACTTTAGAGTTGATCGTCGAGAATTGGGGCAGGAACAATTTCGGTTATTTGGATCAGTTCAGGCAGTACAAGGGGATCTGGCAGGATCAGATTTATTTGAATAAACAAGGATTGTATAGTTGGGAGATTGGTTCTTTGGATTTTAAGAAGAAGTGGACTTTGGGTCTGAAGAATTGGAGGACTTTCGAGGGGAATTGGATGCCGCAACCGGCGATGTATAAAGCCGTCTTCACGATGAACGCGACCGCTCAAGACACTTACATCGATATGTCGGATTGGTACAAGGGAATCGTCATCTTCAACGGTTTCGTGCTCGGAAGATACGCGAGGATCGGACCTCAGCAAAGTCTTTATCTTCCCGCACCGTTCATCAAGCAAGGCGACAACGAAATCATCGTCTTCGAGCATTTCTACGCCGCAAACACAATCAAATTCACCAAAGACCCAATCTTTAAAACAGTTTAATCTCTCTATATATATATATTTTTGTCATTAATACTAATCTTAAATAACTATATTCTTCTCCAAGTATGTAGTGTACGCCGCCGGAGAAACGCATTGAGCGGATAAAGTGAAATTGTCGAGAAACTTGAGCTTCTCCAGAAAAGACTTCTTGTACAACTTCTTCGATTCTTTCCTCTGCTCCGCCGTCACAGGTTTATCATCCAAATGCAGCAGATTCGGAAACATGCTGATCATAAACAATCTAAACACATAAAACATAAATCAAATATATTGAAATAAATTTTGTAAACTTTAATTCACCTGTACTGTAAATATTCGTTAAAGTTTCCACCGTTCAGATACGAAGGAGCCGCCTCGTTTCCCATCAGCGATAAATACTTCAATTGCGGACACGATTTCTGCAATTTCCTTCCCCAAGGATACAGCTCCTTTATCTTCTCAAACAGAAAATTAAACATTCAATACGACAAATGATGATTAAGAAATTATCAATAAATTTAATCCAATTTTTTTTGTATACCTCACCTTGCAGTGATTCAACCAGAGCAATTCGAGCTTCGGCATCGCCGGGATTTCGGTCGATGAAGTTATGTTGTTGTGATCGCAGATCAGCGTCGTCAGCTTCTTGAATTCGGTCAAAAAATTTAAATTTCTAAAAGCAAAAACAAAACATAGTCTTACCTAAGTTCATTTATAAATTACATAAGAGTAATTGTCAAAGTGACATTTAACCGTCAAAATTGACATTTGAATTGTTATTATATTGAAATTAACTCTAAACTCAATCAAAAATATGAAATATAGACTAAACATTGTATGTGTTATAATATAGATAATGATATCAAAACATTTATGATCTTATGCAAGTGTAAGGAATGATTTAAGCGTAGATGTCAAAATGACATTTAAATTGTCATAATAACTCATGGAATTGCATATTTGTTGTAATCAACAATGTTTTAAAAGTAAAGTTGATAAATTTAAAATCAAATACAGAAAAAACTTATCATTTTAGATCAACAAACAAATAACAATAAGTATTCAAATGACATTAAACTTCTAAGCAAATATAGATACATGACATAACTATCAAAATGACATTTAAATTGTCATAATAACTCATAGAATTGCATATTTGTTGTAATCAACATCGTTTTTTCTTAAGTAAAGTCGATAAATTTAAAATCAAATACGGAACAAACTTATCATTTTAGATCAACAAAGAAATTATAATGAGCATTCAAATGACATTAAACTTGAGACAACTTCTAAGCAAATATAGATACATGACATAACTATCAAAATGACATTTAAATTGTCGTTTGCAGAGATTATTTGCAATACTTACTCGAATTCGTTGTTGCTGATGTCCAAGACGACGATATACGGCGAGAGTTCTTGCAATATTAGTTTGGGCATACTGTGGAGACGTTCGTACGCTAAGGACAGTCTCGTTGTGTCCGTCGTTGTGTGAGAATTTTGAGCGATCGCATTGTCCAAACCGTAACTCAACTTTGATTCAGCTTGATCTGTAAATTTAACAAAATTGATGCAATGTTAATTTGATCTATTATCGAAGGAAAACTTAAATAAATGAATGCGTCAATCAAAGAAATGCTTGCTCTATGGAAACTGACAGCAAAAACAAAAATAATAAGATAACTAGATATTTTTTTAGTGGACTTACTGAGGAAAATAAACGCTCCCAAAGACGTCATGCTGAAGATCTCGGATTTGTCGTCCAAGATGCTCTCGTCGTACGAGCTGAGGAGCGATGGGACATTCTTGATGTGAATTACGTCGCAACCATTGTTACTATCCGTTCTGCAATAGAATGAATACAAAAATTTAATAAAAAAATCATAACTTTGTTATGTGCGGAAATTGAACTGATACGAGGATCCAATATGGAGCACGCATGTAACAAATAACATACAAAAAAAAAACAAAAGAGGATATCACGAACTGTATGATTATTGATAGATAACGTGAACGTTATAAAAATACGGCCATCTGTTCGTGACGTTTCACATGTTTTGCAATGATTTCGCGATTATTGTTGAAAAACTCACAGATCGTTGCTGCTACTGCTTTCCATCTTTTTGGAAAAAGCATCGGATCCGTCTTACACAATTTCATGCACTGACTGAACTGAGATGAGAAACGTTCGAGACGGTTTTATCGTCGACGACGAGCGATAACTCGCACTTATCGTCGCTGCCCAAAAACATTGGAATTACAAATGAATAAATATAGAAGCAAATCGAGCCGGAACGTAAATATTGATCTAATTTCTAATTTGCACTAATCACAAAATAATGATAAAGTCTACTTTTATTTTATTTTTTTAATTGAAGTTAGATAACCAAAATTATGTCATTTAATTCAGAAAACATCCGTTAAAAAGGTGACAGTTCAGGTTAGATTTTGTCCCGAAAATTTAGGTTAGGTAAACGTTAGGTTAGATTAGATTATTATTTATTTACAAATTTTTATTAACCCTAATTTGGGACAAACAGTTATTTTTTTTTGTACTAATCCCATGAAAATGATTAAATAACATTTAAAAATTGGATTATGATAGGTTAGATTATGACACTTGACGTACCTCGTAGATTCCTTTTCCATTTAAAAACGTTAACTTCGAACTGATAAGACTCAATACAAAATGAGACTTTTCCGTTTCGCGTCTTTATCTCATTATTTACTTATATACTTAATTATTGAAACGTTAGGAATATTTTCCAATTACAAAGTTCATTTTTTTAACAGTTTTAAACAAATATTTATTCTTGCTTCTAAAAAAAGATCAAATACTTTACTTAACGCTATAATTAAGTCAAACTAAAGTGAACAACGTTTGTATTGATGACTTAACAAAATCGATACGAAAAGCTTATGCAAGCCTTCTTCGATACATTTTTTTTTTAAGTCATTCAACGACTTTGTTAATTGTTATTTACTTAATATTCATTTGTTTAAAATAAATAATCTAATCAGAATCAATATTTGACTTTAGTAATTTCTTTTAAGTAAGAAATGTCAATATTTACTATACCAAAAAAAAAAATTCCTTCTAAATAATTAACTAAAAGTATTTGCTTTCTACTTCTTTGTTAGAAATAATTGAAAACTCTTGATGATTCACATAATTTGATGTATTATGCACATTTCTTTTAAAACCGTTAAATTATTTGTATAAACTTACTACTATATAAAGCAAATTATAAATATTTACGTACATATTTCGAAGCATAAAAACCGAACGTCCTGCACTTAACTCACTACTTCGTGTATTACATAGACTTGGATGAAATTCGAACTCCGATGAAGCCGAACAAGAAATTTAGTAACCTAATCAAGTGAACAGAGAGTATACGGAAAGAGGGGTAGAAAAAGCAAGAACATTTTTCCAGCCAAAACGAAAATTTGCAACTTTATTATTACTATAGTTTTTCTTTATTATACTTCATTTTCTTCTTAATATATATTTATGTTTTTTAAACTCTAAACAATCGTAACTTAATTAGTCTACACAATGCGAATACATTTATACTTTACACCTCAATTTACGTCTAAACTTTAATATTAATATAATCGGTTTTTATTTAATTACTCTCTCTTTTTGTTAGAGATTTACTTCTCGTCGAAGACGTCGCGTTGCTGAAGCTGTTGTTGGGCCGTACGCAGATTCCTCAACTGAAAACAAACAAATTCAATTATTTGCACTATTTTTTAGGGGATTTATCTTTTAAAATTTACCAGTTGCCTCATGAACGGCGAAACGTAGACCTCCCGCTCTGGTCTGTAATCGCCGCGAGATCCGGCGAAGATCAGGGCCGGATTCTCCTCCAATTTTCCAGTATCCTCGATTTCCATCATTCCGCCATCTCTTTTTCCCATTCCGCCGTAGCAGGAATGGCCGAAATTGGCGCAGCCACCTATAAAAAAAAACAACAAAAACAAAAATTGTAATTATAGGTTAATTCAGTATTTATAGGTTATGTAAAGTTATTTTAGAAGTTGCAAAATCCTTGTCCAAAATTACATTTTTATTTAAAAAAATATTTCAATCAATTTGTTTAAAAGAAGAAAAAAAACTTATTTCAAAAAGAGATTTTATAACGAGTATAAAGTGATAAAATTGAACTGGGGATTTTTTTTTGTTTGTTTTGTTGTTCGTATTTGCAATGTAAATTGGAGTGTTTCTCTCCCTCATCGGAATTCGGTCTCGTTTTCAAAACGCGAACTTAAGCCTTCAGAACAAAAAAAAAAAAAATACAATTTCGATGTAAATCAATGTTTCGCTTCAATAAAATCCGTCTCCTTTCAACAGTATTTGGGAATTACTAAGTCCATTATTTCCGAAGAGAAAGTTTAATGGAATGCGAACAGGGAGAAACAAACAAATTTCTTCGTAAGAAGGTGTTGAAATCAGCTTTTTTTCTTAGTAAAAAGGGAAAGATTTAATACATCGTTTCATTCCATATATTTGAAATTGATTGAAACCATCTGTTTTTGGCGTTTAAAATAAATCGATTAGTTGGCATGGAAACAGTTGGTGCTGCATTAAAATGTATTTGTTTTTAATTTAGCGGGAAAATCAAATAAGTGCAACCCATCTCCCCTCCCATCGATACGAAACAAGCGATAATCGGGAAACGAAATTGCGTTCACACGTGATCATCGCACAGGCATATTTTAATTTATTAGTTTTCTGTTGCGCGAAAATAAATTCCATTATCGTGTCCATTATTATATTAAAACGCGCTTCGCTCGCGTTAATCAAGTGGACGAATTCCCTTTGTACTGCACATACACATATACACGTAGGTGTTCTCTCCTATTAACTGCGATATTAAATGCTGAAAGCTAATTGAAATTTGATTAACACCTTCTGTTTTGCAATTATTTTCGATGCATTACCAATACGTGATTTGATTCCATTCCATTCGTTTATTGAGTTTATTTCTTTTGGACCATATTTTTTCGTATTTTGAATGTATTTCACGATCGCGCGAAGGATACGTTCACAAAGCCGACGTGGGTGGACTCGAAGGATTTGCGAGGAGAGAGCAATATATATATATATACAGTCTTGAACGTAGCAAAGCGTTTATGTGGGGACGTCAAGTGGCGAAGGAAGGATGGATGAATGAGAAAAAAAGGACTAGTGAATTATTTCACTTTAACTTCGACGGGACATCTCGAAGGACCTTTCCGCGACCGATATTTTCGAGTGCGCTTTCAACGAATCAATTTCCAGTCTTTTTTTTTTCACGTATACAAATTTATTTCGCAACTACTGCTTTCAGCTTTCGCTATTTGTGTAATTGAACTGTGCTGCAGTAACCGCGCAACGAAATAACAACATTTGTTTGTTTCCTATTTGCGTTTCGCTCGTAGCCATTTGTTGTTCCCATCGCTATGGAAACGTTGTGAATTCATTACGGGAAACATTTATGCCGCATCAACAGTCTAGATTTGTAACAAAAATAACTGCACAATTCATGAAAAAGTATAATTTAATTAACACAGTAATTATGTAACTCAATAACAAAATAAATAATATTCATCTTCAGAATACGTTACTTGACAAGTAACTTGTGTAGTAATGCGTAAATAACGCTGCATTTGCAAACAACTTAACAAATTACTTGTATTATTATGCATGTAACTAGGTGAAATGACATATGTTATTTAAGTTGGTAATTTATTTTTTGTGCTAACTTCAATAATAGTGATTGATGTTATAAAAGTTGATTAATTTTCTTACAAATTATAAAGATTTAGTGGATGCGCCAGGTATTTAAACCTTTTAATATGTATGCAAATTATTTGCAAAAAAAATGTAGTCATGCAACACTATTACACGTAAGCTAAGCAGTTTTATTCATTTTCTTACAAATTATAAAGATTTAGTGGATGCGCCAGGTATTTAAACCTTTTAATATGAATGCAAATTATTTGCAAAAAAAAAAATGTAGTCATGCAACACTATTAACATGTAAGCTAAGCATTTGTATGTATTTTCAATACATTTTCATACAATTGGATTTGGAAAATGTCCAATATCTTTGTCCATGCGGTTTATGCAAATCCACGTTTTAATATCCGGCCGAAATGGCCAATTGATTCCGAGTTGGGTTTGAGAGTTGGAATCGAAATTGAAACGAGAATCGCGATCGTCCTCAATTCCGTTTATCTTAAGCCGCAGATTAATAAAAGAAAACTTTAATGGGGAAATAATCCATCTCGTCCATAATTGCCGCGAGAATCATTCGTAAGAATAGGATTAGGGCACTTTTAGGCTATAATCCGACCCTGGATGCGAGGAGCGACTTCGCCGCAACACGCACGCAAAGTTTTCGCATCAGATTTTGCGGCTTCAAACGACCTGTTGGATTTCCACTCAATCTCTTAACATTTTTTTTCATTTTCTTTGTTTCTTTTAATACAGTCTTAACGAGTTAATTGAATAATTATCTCGCAGTTGGTAATTGACATGATGACAATTTCAAAGTCAGCAATAACAAACTTTTGTTTTCTACAGGCAAAAAGAATATTAAAATACACAATGACAATTTAAATGTCAGTGATAATAAAACCAATGAAAGAACAAGTCATGTTTGCTAAATTCATCTATTGTTTCCATTTCGTAATACCAATAATTCCATAATAGTTTGTTCTAAATCTATTTCGTAACTACTATTTTCATGTGTACAAATTCGAAGTATGTTGGGTGGTATAACTATTAACACGGTACACCAACTTTAGCATAATTATTTAAATATGTCATTTCTGACAGTATTTGTTTGTTCAGGCTTATGACATGAATGACTTTGACATTTCTAATTAGTTTCACTTTTTTTACGTAACCATAGAGAAAATTTAGTTTAATTTAACAAAACGGTTAAAACCAAGAGAAAATTTTTAATTAAAATTGAGAGTTGTCGGGATTGTTTGAAGAAAATTTCAATATTCTATTGGAAACGGAAGGAAAGTTACGCAACCGTTTAATTCGAACGTTTCCTTCTTCAGGAATTATTGCAAAGTAAAGAAATAAATACGTTGTCTTGACGCAAAGTTATGCGACGAAAGGCTGAGTCGGATTTGTCCCGAGGATAATATGTCAGGATTACAAACGAGATCTCTGGGAATACAACTTTTTAAACAAATACCCAATATTCTTGCATCGAAATAGCAAGAAAAAAAAAGAATACTGAGAGAAAATAATAACATCGCCTGAAGCGAAACGCTTGTTTACGTCTGCTTTATATAAATTGCGAAATATTCGCAACTTTAATCAGAGAAAAAAAAACTAAAACTTCGTACAAATAATGAGTGCGTTATTTGTGGATATAGTAAAATGTGTTTTTCCATGCAAGTTTAGTAACGAATCGTAAATGGCTTTGAAAAAAAAAAGAACATCGTACAATGTGTACTGGATATTAAAATTCCAAAATTTTCATTCCTGATATAAATTTTACTAAAATTTATTTAATAAATGATATAAGAAAAGATTAAGGTCCTTTTTATTCGTGAAGTTTGGATGTGTATTAACATTATTAATGGTCGAAATACAAAAATATAAAGAAGAAGAAAAAAAAACGTTTTTCCCTTCACATTTCTTTTTCTCTCGTTCTATAGAAGTCTAATGGTCGAATTTATTTCCTTCCGTTTCTCGATTCTCCGGTAACACAAACGGGATATTTCATATTGCACGCGATTTTCCACCAGCCGCAAGTTCGATTGGCCCCTTTGTACCTTTGACCTTACATATTTCTCCACCCTTCAAACATCAAATACAAGTAATTGCAATAATTGTCTGCTTAAGGACACGTTTTTGTATACGTGAATTTTCAAACGACGAACGAAGTAAAAGTTTTAAAAATAATAATAATAACACGTACGGTTTACATATCTACAGGAAACATCATACATTTAAATGTCGGAAGATAAAAAAGAAAGCGCGAAATTAGATGTAAATGAATACGTTTTAAAAAATTGCATACATATTCAGTGTGCAAGAGAAATGAATTAGTTTTAAAATTGATTTAGTTTTTAAAGTTATAATAAGTTTCATATATAATGAAGCAACTGTCAAATTGACAAGCTGTCATAATTTTAAAGGTTAAGCATTTATATAACTGTCAAATCGAGAAACTGTTATAGTCAAATCAACAAACGTCATAATTATATAAGAAAAAAAATGTTGACAGCTACAATGTTTAAAATCGACGTGAGAAGCGGAATTTCAATAAAATAACTAGAATTTTTACACGTGCAGTAAAATTATTAAAATAATTATGCACAAATCTACGCAAGCTCTCATCTATTAGAAATTGAAGGTTAAAAAATAAAGTTTTAACAGATATAAACTTTGATCAATTAAATTTTATGGAAACGAAGGATTCAAGAAGATTTCGTTGAGAACAGTCATTGGGTAAAATGAGGATAAAACAAAAACTGTCATTAACGCAATTAAACGTTATGACAAGCTGTCATAATTTTAAAGGTTAAGCATTTATATAACTGTCAAATCGAGAAACTGTCATTGTTTGAAAGGTTAAGCATAACTCATGTCAAATCAACAAACGTCATAATTATATAAGAAACAAATGTTGACAGCTACAATGTTTAAAATCGACGTTGCGAAGCGGAATTTCAATAAAATAACTAGAATTATTACACGTGCAGTAAAATTATTAACATAATTATGCACAAATCTACAAAAACTCTCATCTATTAGAAATTGAAGGTTAAAAAATAAAGTTTTGACAGATATAAACTTTGATCAATTAAATTTTACAAAAAAAACGAAGGATTCAAGAAGATTTCGTTAAGAACAGTCATTGGGTAAAATGAGGATAAAACAAAAACTGTGATTAACGCAATTAAACGAGCACCTGGATTTGCAAGTGAAACTACTTCAATTAAAATCAGATTTAATTACTAAAATAAAAGAATACTAGAATTTAGTAAAATTTTCTTAATTATAATAATTAGTAATATAAGTGTTTAATATGATTAATGTGAAAATGAAGCTTTGCAGTTACCAAAATTACTGAAAAAAAGGAAACTATCGGAATTTAATACATTTCGTGTTGCATTTATAATTGCCTTGCAAGATTTATCGTGTTTGGGTGCGGGGACGAGCCCAGCTTTCAACGGGTAATTGAAAATAGTTTGTAATCGCGTTAGGATGAATTTTAAAGAGGTTTTTGCGGTGTTAATTAATTTAATTGCGAGCGTTTAGCGCGATACGTAATTACGGCTCATAAATTCACGATAATCGAGGCGGAATGTTACGTGGATTAAGAATAAAACATCAGGAATCGTGTAAAGTAAACTTGTACACTAAATTCAGTTACACTTAGTACACTAAATTCAGTTACAATTTTGGTTTAGAAATGGACAAGTTTCATTCATTATTGCTTGCAAGGATAGTCATGATAATTATGCAATTTGTAAGTCCACGCGCAAACAGTATTAACAAATTGGCTTTTAGTAATTTGCATATATTATTAGTGCGTAGATAGTCATTAGGTTGAGCAGCGTTTCAGTAATTAATGTAATTTTTCATATAGACAACGATGTCAAATGTTGACACGTAATTCAGTTGTTTCACCCCTCAACCCCCTTTTCGAAATTGCAGAATCCAATTATTGTTGCCTAATTACGTGTAATATTACAAACGTATTCTCTATACTGAAACCCTTAATTCGAACAGACATTTCCAGTATTCTGTTCAGACTCAATTTACTCTCTAAATCAATTAGATTTGTCGAATTATCGATATTAATTTGGAATTTACTAAATGATTTTTTTGATAAATTCTAGTTGATCAAGTTGTATAATATTATTTTTATATTAAACTTTCAATTGTTTCAATGAATATTTCTATCATATTAATCTTGTATTGATGAATGTATGAGCAAATACAAATTAATCATTTTGTAAATTGTAAAAATTTGTTTGTTTGGATTGAGACTTACGTTTGGCTTCGGTCTCCTGGTAGTGGAGGGCCAAGACGAGGGCGGACACGATGACGGTGATCATCTTCAGGCTGCAGGAATTCATCGTGAGGCGAAGTTCTGAGTGCCGGAACGTCGTTTTCGAAGGGTTTTTCGAGAATGGCACCGGCACCATTTGGCGCTTCCCTTTTCATAGAAAACGTGCGTCTTGCGCCTGCTATCAACACTCAAACATGCAAACACAAACGTATACACACAGACACACACACACATAGGAGGGGCATACCCCCACCATAGCGAAAACAAAACGCGCAACCAGTTCAGCCACCCACACGCGAAATGTACATGCAACAGGACCAGGCGCATCCACCACAATTTTTTCCAACAATTTTTTTTATAAACATTTTCTTCCATTTCCTCGCAATCTTTAACTTCTTATCGTTACCTAATTCTTCTTTACAGTGGAAATTAGTTCTAAACAGAAAATAAATTTCTGTAATTTGTTCTTCCATTTCCTCGCAATCTTTAACTTCTTCTCGTTACCTAATCCTTCTTTACAGTGGAAATTAGTCCTAAACAGAAAATAAATTTTGTAATTTTTCTTCCATTTCCTCGCAATCTTTAACTTCTTCTCGTTACCTAATCCTTCTTTACAGTGGAAATTAGTCCTAAACAGAAAATAAACTTCTGTAATTTGTTTAATTATTTCATTTTTTAATTTAATCAAAAAATAATCGAATTTTTGTATAAAAGTATCAAAAAGAAAATATTGGACCTGTCAAATATCTGTCAACTTTTGCAGCGAGTAGAAAAAATTGGTTAATACGAAATCAACGTTTGGACGTCCATTTCCAAGGAAACGAGGAAATTGCTCGATCTGCGGAGGTGATGGAAACGGAGGGCGAATGGAAAAAAAATTGAAAAGAAAAAAAAGGAACGAGGAAAAACGAGTATCGTGAACTCATAATCACTTATCGATGCCAATTACCCTTTGACACGTAATCACCTTTGATGCGCGCCGCGTTCGTCGTAACAAGATTTTGCAGTTCCCGCACTCCCCCCCAATCAATTGTTTCTTTTCCCATCTACATCGTGCTTTTCTTTTTTTTTGTTTGTTTCATCCTTCATTGTTGGCAGTATCGATTTTGAATTGCGTACTGTAGCGAGACGCGAAATTGACGATGACCATTTCGCAGTTTATTTGCGCTCAAGTTTCATTGTCCGAACCGAACACAACGTAACAGAGAGAGCCGTAAATTCGTGCGATGGATGCGCCGAAGGAGTTAATTAATATAAAACGGTGGCCTGTTGCATCGCGGATGAATCCGATGGATACACGTGAAACCATCGAACGAACAGTTAATTAAATTCGCACGACAAAAAAAAATCGCGGTAAAATTGAATGAAACATGGGACGGTTGGAAACGTGAAATTATGCAACTAAGCTAATTAGGGTGTCCGGCGTGTCGGTGCGCTTTTGTTACTTTGTTGTGACACCGACGGAACGCCGCAACAGCAGCAGCAGCAAAAAAGTAAATAAATGAATCAACGAAACAAAATTTTGTTCACTATAGTCTTCTAATTGCAGAATTAAACTTTTTCAGGTTGGACGCATTTTCAATGCGTAAATTAATTATTCAAATTGAAATGTATTTTTGACACATTGACAGATCACTTAAACGTCTGTGAAGAGTAGAAACCAATTGGTACATACATCAAATAACATAATTATGTCAAATATTTGACGTTTAAATGAAATTAGAATGTCAAAAAGAAACGTCACTTTTTTTTATATATAAACACATTTTTTTTTCTGTTTAGATTATGTAAGTTTTCATTTGACAATTGTATAGTTGAAAGTGTCAAGATAATAAGTATAATATAATATGAATATTTGGTAAATATCAAATGATAATTATATTTACCATTGGTTTTCAACTATACAAATGTCAACTGAAAACTTATATAACTTCAATAGATACTAATTAACGCTGTTGTTATGATACCATATCTAATGTTATCCATATGTCACTTGTCAATAATATTAAGGATTGACAAGTGACATAAATGTCATTTTATATTTGATAAGTACATCAATTATCATAATTAAACGAAACGTGATTAACTAACTAAATACATGTTTGACATAAACAATTATATAATAATAAAATTATCACCATGACAATTTGTTTACTTGTCAACGTTAAAAAACTACTAAAGTTTCCGTAGTCTTCGTTGAATGACAACTTTGTCAACGAGTAAATTACGTGCTTTAGTAACTTTTTTTTTCTTTGCAATATAATCGGAGTATAAATTGAACGTCTTTGCGGTTGTCGTTTCGTCGTCCTGCCGTTTCGATGCATTTAAAACTGTCGTTTAATTTGTAATTTCAGCAGATTAACAGACGTGCATTCTGCCGCTCGACGGTGGGATCTCTCAGGTGAGAGGAAAAGAGAGCGAACGCGGATAAAGTTTTGCGCGAAAGCAATTTCTTTGGTAGAGAAGAAGAAGAAGAAGGAGAAGGACGGTTCGCAAAGAAACTTGTTAATTAAGGTCGAACCGTTGGCACGCGACATTCGCAACAAGAAAACAACCCTTAAGCAGCGACCCACGCAGGTGAAAACCACCTTCGGAAATTTCCGCAGTTTCTTTTGCTCGTTTACACGTTGGAGATTGACCTGCGGTACGCGCGCACTTAATGACTTAATGAATCCTTTCCGGTTAACAGAATTAAACTCGGGATACATTTTGTTGTATTTTTTATTAAGTTTAGACATTTTTCTAAAATGACAGTGATAGAATTCTCCGAATGTGAATGAATTTAAGATTAAGAAAACTGAAAGAGAAAGTAATTAAAAACCGAATCGTAAAAAAAAAATAAAATAATGAGTATACATACAAATCTATTTAATCTAATTTCTTGGAAATTTACTTGAAACCTGGACAAAGCGATGGAAATATGCTCGAACTTTTCATCTCTCCCCAATTAACTTTATTTTACGACGTAATTATTAAATTAGGTAGAAACAGACAAAGAAAATGTTTATTTATTTTTTATTGTTTTGTTATTTCTTCTCTCAAATATCGCTGCTTTCAATTGCAAACATTTATTTATTATTTTTTTTATTAAAATTAATTTAATTTTATGTTCACTTTCATAATTTCTTTACTAAATGAAACAGCTATTGTATTATTATAATATAATTAGGTTAGGCATCATTGTGTATTTTCATATAAATTATAAAAATGTAAAATAAATGAGGCAGAAAAATAAATAGGAACTAAACTTATATTCTTACTTGAACTCAAGTCAATATATTATGACAGATATTTGACGTTCAAATGAAATTACAATGTCAAAAAGAAACGTCAATTTTTGTTTTCATTTGACATTTATACAGTTAGAAACGTCAAATTAATATATGTCAAGCATATGGTTGTATATTAGTACAGTACGTTTCATTTAATTATGATATTACACGTAATTACGTGTAAAACGTTACAAAAACAAAACTGTTT